CACACAATTACAGATGGTAAAACAAAGTCTTCTTCCTCCCAACATCAAGGGAACAGTCAGGGCAAAGAGATAAGACACAGGTGTCATTTTAGCTCCAGAGGGGAGAAACTGATACTCATTTCCTGCTCTTCAGCTTTAGGGTGAAAGAGCACCAAGTCAGTTATGACTATTGCATATATCTAGAAACCCACATCCAGATCACTCTCTGAGGTCAGTAAGCGATGGTAGTTAATGCCACCACTAACTCTGCACGTTCACCCTGGGATCTCACAGTTGAGCAGGTTCTTCCTGCCCCGCTTAAGAAACAGCTGCAGGTCAAAGTCCCCTCTCAATTATTCAAACCGACCAGGCTCTACAAAGATCCCCAAGGACGGCAGAGCTATTGCTGCTGGCTATTTTGCTGGCAGTGCACAAACCAGAATAAAATCCAGTTACTTGTCCTAAGTCCTAGCAGACTCTGAGAGGTTAACTGCATAAAGGTAGGTCAAAACAGAGTACCACTACAGCCAGCAGCTCATCTTGATATGTGATAGGGGAAATGTGCTGACAAAATGAGAGTGGGGGGAACATTATCAAACATTTTAACTGCAGCATGTTAGGGCTTCAATTGCACAGTTAAAACCACTGCTAAGTTGCTCTGATTCAAATGGGTTGGTTTGCTCTAATGCAAACTTCAAATCAGATTGTTACAATTCCACAAAAAGTTTCTAGATAACCATTAAAAAGAAGCCCTCAAAATTAATAATTTTGATTGTCTCTAATGTCAATTGCCCCATTCAGTCAAGTTTCCTGTCAGTAACCTTCCTCTTCCTTCTTTTACCCAACAAGTTTGGGGTACGTTTTAAAATTTGCCTGAGGTTGTCCACAGAGGCAGAAATCTCCCCAGATATTATTTCCCCATAATAATCCATGGGAGAGGCAATTAACAGAGATTCAAAATAGCATGTTCAAATAGAGGAGTTGGGTCTCAACGACAACACTGCATAAATAGAAGAGAGAATCAGCTTGGCTTTTTTAATTCAACTGCTCACAGAACTACTTATTTGCCTTTAAATTAAACATTCAGTGAAGATAGCTAGTCTTTAGTAAAACTTTCCTCCTCTCTGGAGTAAACCTGCACTTTGCCAAGGCAACATCTGTGAGGAGAGGTCATGTAGTGCAGCAGACTAATGGCATAGTTAGAAAAGGAGAGACTGTCTCTTCGGCTTACACACCCAAGGCATGTCTCTGCCACAACAGGGCACTTGATGGTTGCCTGATGTTGCCCCAAATGGTACCAATGGTTTCCTAGCTCTCTATTTACACTTGGTAACCATTTTTGTGTCTCCATCTTCTCTTTTCTTGGTTTAAAATCTGACACACTTCAAGGACAACATGGGAAGACCTGCTCTCACGATAAATATTTTAAAATTAAAATAGCAAGTGCCAGTGGCCAGACCCAGTTGGAGAAGCCAGCTTAGATCTGAATACTTTTTTTAATCCAACACCAAAAAATTTCTGAATCCAAGATTAATAATCAATTTAACATCAAGGTCCACTTTTTTCTTTCCCCTCCAGTTTACGGCGTACAGTGGTCCCTTACTCTTTCCTGGCTACTGCCACTTCGGGGAACCACAAAGCATGAAGGTGCCACTACTCTACCAGAAACCCCTGGGATTGCTTCACTTTGCACATTCGAATTGGTCCACTGCACTCAGGCTTGCCCTGGTCCCTGAGCACACATAAGTCACTGCAGTAAGCACCAGTAAATGAAAGTTTAACATCTGCATGATGCAGAGTTCAAAAGGCAAATGAACTTGGGGGAAGGGGATTACAAGCAAGTAAGAGACATGGCTTAGGGTATGCAGCCTCTCTGTTAGTACAGCATTTTACAAATCCATGGAGAAGGGCAGCTCTGGAGACCAATTAAACCAGTTGTTGAAGCAAGCTGAGGCATACTTATTTTAAGTGTCCTAATTTAAGGATACTCTCAGACTCTTCTCTAGTCCCTATGTCACATGCAGTGTAGGATCTGCTCTCCCAAGCACACCAACCAGCATAGCTTTGGAGAAAACTTACTGAAAACCCAGAAGGAACAGAATGCCCTCCCCATCCCCACTACCCTGTCGGGCACTGTTAGGGGTCCCTAAAGCAACGAAGCTCCAACACCACACATGGATGTCAAGGCACTTCCATGGCTGAAAAGATTATACAGAGGACTAAGCACAGTTCTCTCCCTCACAGAATGAACAGAAGATCCAATGCTCTTGATACACTTTTACTATCTTTTACTCTACTTAATCTCCCTTATGGGAATCGTTCTGTTTGCAGACCCTAAAAACATCCGGTCCAGCACCACTACACAAAGAGCAGGAAGCCTCCTCCCCAGCTCAGCACAACCGCAGGATGATCTTTGTAGTGACACAGAGGAACTGTGGACAAATCAAAGCAGAACACCTAAGAAAGATTCCTGAAGCCAGAGAAGCTGTACTTTAAGAGCACAAGTCTCTGACACATTTGGGTGTACAAACACTGTCCATTAGAGCAGCAGTCCAGCAGTGCAGGACTATAGCAGACACAGCAGAAAACCCAGCTGTGGGTCAGGAGCACATAGGATACTTTGTAAGGAAGTTTCACACAGAGGAAGATATCACTGGAAAGCAAGAAAAGTTTCAGTCCTGCCCATTAACAGTTGGGGTTCAGTAAGAATACAACCCTGACTACTCTAGAGAGTCCTAGTCCCAGCAAACTTCCAGGTCAGGCAACTGCAGCCTCTCCAAAGCCATTTCGAACGGCTAGAGTTGGAGGAGCCTTCCCTGCTCCTACCCCACTGCACACAACCACTTTGAGTTGTTTCTGGTCTCTGTGTGTCCATACTAGAGAGAGCTGGTGGGTTCTCAGCAGCAAAGGGCCAAAATACTTCAGTGGTTGGAGACTGATTCTACAGCAGTTCTACACCAGCAGAACTACCTGTCCTGATCTCAGGAGATCTCAGTTTACAGCAGGACAAGCGTGAAGGGAGAATCAGGAGAGCATGTCAAATGTTTAGGAGGAAATGGAGGTTATAGGCCACGTTCAGCCTCACTGAGGAACAAATGCATCCAAACTCTGGCAAGAAGGATGCGGACTGTAAGGGAAGAAAAGCTTCAGACTGCAGTGCATAGGGAATGCATATGGGTGAACTATGGGCTCTTGCAAATAAAACAGAAACTACAGAGCTCCCCAAAGCAGACCTTGCTAGAAACCAGATATTATCTTTTTGATATTCACACTCATTAGACAGCAAGTAATAAAACCTATTAGTGAAAAATTCATCTCCCCTGCCCCTTGCCCTGGCCCTCCCCCACCACATGCCCTCCTGCTCTGATCCTCTCTCTCTTCTAGGATGGCTGTGATTTGTTCTGAGAAGCGACAGGTTTATAGGTTAGCCGACACCTTCTCTCTGTGGAATTTTAATTAACTTCTCCCATCGTCAATATGTTAAGGAGCAGGGTTCCCATTATACGAGGTCAGCAGCGTGTTTCGGACCTTGCTATATCAGCCGTCAAATTGAAGAATTAATGACGTGGCTAATTGGCTCTAATTCTCCACACCTCCCTCCCTAAAATATGGAGGGGTAAGCGGGGGTGCAGTAGGACGGCCTAGTGGGAGAGGCTGGTACAGTGCACAGTCTCATAAAAAAATGAGAGTGCACAATTTAAGCTCACTTGTTCATGGGGTAGCTGTTCCACCACCTCCAATTTATCACCCTGCAGGGAGGAAGGGGGGTAGGGGTGGGGAGACTGAGGGTAAATATTGTGACAGAGAGTGTGCACAAGCATGCACACCAGGGAGAGGAACACTGTCCTGACAAGAGGCCACGGCAGCGGGTCATCACTTAGGAGTAGGAAGCAGCATGTCACTGGGCTCTAACCAGCCCAGTGGCCTGAGCCACAGCCTGTCTGCTAGAAAAGGGGCCCTTGCAGCACAGAAGACAGAAGAGGGCTTCTATCTCGCATCTTGCAGATCCACGAATGCACATGGCACTTCTTCAAAAACACTATCTGTCTCAAACACTCGGAGCAAAGGAACAAGGGAAGAGCAAAATCATAGCAAGGCTGGAGTGTCATTTCCCTGATAATGCCATCAGCTCTGCACCACTATGTTTCTGCTGCCTGCAAAACAAGCTTGGAAATCTAATAAGAACAGCAGTTGTGGGAAGTATTTTGGTTTTGCACAAGCCTAAAATTCAGTAGTTGCAGATATCACATGGGCAGCAACAACAGCTCTTCTTCCCCTCTTCCTCAAGCTACACCAAGGAAGAATCTCTCTTGCATGCAGAGGACCAGCTAAACCAGGGAACCAAAGAGATACATCGTTGCTGGTCAGTGTGAGATTTTAAAAGTGAGAGTTTAAGTTTCTCAGATTCTCACTTCCTCAAGAACAGGAGCACTTTGAAAAACATCCTGGAAGATACTGCTGTATGTACTGTCCTTGCCTCCCATGCTGAAGTTGTAGTTGTAGAATTACACCTGCACTAGCAGCACAGAGATACAGACAATAGAGGCTGGAAAACCTCATCCCCGAACTCCACTTCATCTTTCCCAGTTCAGCATGTTCAAAGAAAACTGAGCTTTAATCAATGCATACAGCTCTTAAACAGAGACCTTTTCGCTCAGCATCTCTTCTGCCAGAGAATGAGAAAACAAGTTGGCATCTTTTCAGCACAGAAAAACTCAAGAGGATCCAAGTCACTGCTTGCAATTAGCAAGTCAGAGCTTGTTCAGCAAGAAAGAATGAACAGGTCCCACCTGAGGTGCTAAGAGGAACACAGGGCAATCTTCACGGCCTCTTTATGAGTGGATCACTCCACTGTTATAAGAAAAAAGACCATATGCTCTTCCCTGAGCACCTGCTGCAGGCAGAAGCACTTCACCCAAACCAAGTCACATTGGTGTCTCAGAAAGATTTGTGGACGCACAGCCTATCCAACTCCTTTACTTCTCTCTGTTGGAAATTGGGAATAAAGAGATCTCAGTTACCTTAATAATGGGCTGATAGCAATGGACCACACTCGATCCTCTGTCTGCACTGTATGTAGACACTGACCAACTCTGCCCGCGGACAGGGACCAAACCTAAAGAGAGAGATGCATGTTATGCCACATCATCCAAAACTGCAGAAGGTAGGATGCACGCTGCTAATGTTGTGCTGGAAGAGCTGCCAAAATTGCCATGCTTACCTTCCCCAAGTTCCTCTCCCTGAATTCCCATTACTTATTTTTGAGGAGCAGAGCCTTCAATCACTGGCAGAAACATCTCAACTTATGAGTATGACATTCCACCCGACTGGTTAGGGAGAGAGCACCTCCATCACCACTTGCTCTCTAGGGGCAGCACTCAACACAAAGTTATCACCTGCTGTAGTTAAATAAACAAGAAGTGGGATTTGTTCAAATATGTTCTCTTGAACAGTGCGGAAAGACTTTGTAGTACCCCTGAAAAATTTTCATTAATATTATCTATAAAATTAATTGTTCACCAGCCTGTAAAATAGTTTTCTTTTATAAATCCACCCCCTTCAGACCAAGTTTAAGTGTACCCCAGGCCGTTTTCAAATAGGTCCCCCTTGCTCACTGACAATGTGAGAAAATCTCTTACCTCCCCCATCAGTGCAAACATGCACATCCCCTTCCACCAGTTCACCCCTTTGTTTCTGGGTCCTAATAAAGGCCCCAAAATTCTTGCTGGAGCCTCTGCCTGTGGCCCTCATTTTCTCCACCTTGCCATCATTCTTGGCCCATGGGAGGCAAGCCCCCCCTTCTCTGTAACCAACCCCCAATGTTTCACTTCAAGACTTCAAAGCAGGGAGTGCCCTATTTGTTTGTTTGTTGATAATGCCCAGGATTGCAGGCTATTCTTGTCAGCGGGGAATTTAGCACCTAGTGTCAGCAAAAGCAGCAGAAAAGCTTAACTCCTTTAAGGCATCCCTATCTCCTACAGGTTAAAAATATTGCTCAGAGCACACTATCTGCTGCCTATCACACAGGAATGTACATTAGCAGCTCTTCAGGGCTTAGTCCTAATCAACACTCGGCAGAGCCCTCAATAGCTTAGACACTTAGAGCCCCTTTAAAAGGCTGGTAGGGATTCCCTTCCACCACCCAAGAGTCTCATTCGTGCAAACAAGACAGCCTACAAAAGAGATGATAAAAAATAAGAGGTGAACATCTCCAGAACATATGCTGTGGGGAGCACTGGGTGGGCAAGATCTCACACTAGCCCCAAGGAAAACAGCCTTAAATTCCCCTCTGGCCTTCAGGAATTTGTTCTCAAGGTCGGGGATGTCTGTCCTCCAGCTGTCAGAGAAGCAGCAAAAAGGAATTTCCCAGAAAAGAGGCTCCACAGACCGGAGAGGAGCAGCCCTGTTAAAGTGTGAGACAAAGCAGCATCAAGGCCTTGCTCCCAGGAGGCAAACGGCATTCCCAGTAGTGCCTTTTGCATCTGAACACTGCTCTACTTGGGAGTGATTTTATCCAGGAGTACATCTGTACAGAAGGACAACAAAAATAAATAGGGTCATGCTGCTTAGCAGCCTGTCAGGTAGTTACCCATTTCCACATGCTTCCTACAAAACCTTGAAAGAGACATTTAAGTCTTCCTTTGCTCCAACTTCCCCTCTTGCAAAACAGGAATAGCTGTTTTTCTTCTAACCTCCGTCAGTGCTCTATGAGAGGAACTAGGGACCAAGAGTATTCATCAGCCTACCCTGCGCAAAAGCCAAAGTTTTCAACATACAGCAAACCAAGAACCATTAAAAAAAAAAACCAACAACCCAGACAAAAAAAACCCCACCACAAATAAATGAACATCATTTAGGAACATAGGAAAAGACATCATGCCATCCTTTACAGAGACTGAATATGTATCAGAGAGCAAGTTAAACCACACTGTACCACAAAGCAAGGATGGGTTTGAGATACATAGAGCAAATTTCACATTAAATGGCACAGATCTCCACTACAATGTAGACAGATATACAGTGAAAGAAGCAAAATATCAGCTTCTGCCTTCTGCACGTCCTAGTTTAAGCCAGCAGCTGATGTTGTAAACCTCTGCCCAATTTCTTCCTTAAAAGCCTGGCACAGCAAGCATCTTTTCAGAGATGTGAGCCTATACTAAGATAACCAGTGCTCCTCCTGCAAGGAGTACAGGCTCACAACAGTTCTGCTGACACTTAAATATTCATGGCACAAGACCTCTGAAGTCACCTCTGCAGCAGCACCTGCAGCTGCTGAAACACCACTGCTCACCTTCGCTGTTCGGTCCCGGGAGCCACTGACAATGAGGCCACCTTGGAAATCCACACAGTTCACCTCCTGTTCATGCGCAGAGAACTTGACACTGTAGGAGCCATGGATCTTGTGAAGGACAATACTTCCATCCCTGAAAAACAAATCACCAAACAGGGAGTTTGTATCAGTTGCATCTCCCCTGGACACGCACCTTTCACTAGTGCTTAAGAGTGTCACAAAAAGACCAGGACTGGTCTCTCGTAGAAGCTGAAATTCACGTAGCATTATTAACCCTCCACCCTTCACACATCACCTGTTCTCTTGTGATCCCACATCTGGCCAGTCAAAGCCTGATCTGATGCACGTGAAAATTTTCCTGGTGATCTTTCCACCTTCCACTTTGCATTAAGCTGCAGAAACTAGCAGAGCAACCATTCCTCCTCCTACTACTTTGAGCTTGCCAGAATACTATCTGTATGCTGAATGGCTGGAGTAAGGGAACAAGTTCGAGGACATTCTCATCCACGTCCAAGTCTCGGCTTTTCATTCATTTCAGAGCAGCCGTGTAGGGTGCTGTACTTTGAATTGACTACACAGACATTTAGACCTCTTTCAAACAATACCGTTACTGGAATTTTAAATGCATGCCTTCATTTTCACCTGAATTTTGGGCTACAGTTCATGGGGGAGAGTCTCACCATATCCAGGGCAGACAGCCATGCTTGTCTCTCCCAGCTCCGTGCTTAACCGCTGTGTATTTTAATGGCTATAACTTTATAAGCAACACGTCTGTCATTTGCTGTAGCTGAAAAAGGCCAGTCAGATGCAAAATTAATTGGAGAAGTGTGTGTATGCTGGAACGCTTGGCAGTTTTCCCCCTCTCCACAATTGTATCAGTGGATCTAATAAATATATACTTGTCCCTAGAAAGCTTTCTGCACCACTGCAGTCCCAGCTAACCAGCAGTATTGATTATTAGAACAGTCTAGCTACCCCAACTCTAACAGGGAAAGAAATGAAACTTGCACATCAGTCAGGTGTGCAATCAGTCAATCCCGATTCAACATCCTGTGGATCTTTACACAAGTTCAAAAGAGAAAAGGACACTTTATAAGGTCAACAGCATGAGACTCAGCTCCTTCACTGCTGTAGTAGAAGCTTTTCCAGGACAGAATCAAATTATAAGAGAGGAAGCAGCAGCAGTTGAACACAGCCAAGCATGAGGACACTGTGTAACAAGACTGGCCCCTCTGCTCTGGGCTGGAGTTACACAAAATCTTTCCAACTTCAGTGCCACAATCCTTGGGCTCCTTCAGTCATGCAACTTACCCCCCTCCGCTGACGATGTGGGAGTTGACAAGAACGAAGCGACATACATCCTCCTGGTGGCCAGAGAAGATGGCTTGAGGGTGACGCTGCAAACCTGTACCCTCTGGACAGATGGGGTAGGCCTGGATGTTCTCTGCTTGAGACAGGTAGAGATACTCGCCATCCAGCTCCATCCATGGCATCAAACTGTAAACAGAGAGCAGGCTGAGGGCATGCAGGAGTGGGGAGAAGAAAACAAAACAATCTCACATGCAAAATAAAAATAAAAGACTGCATATGTAAATATATGAAGAAAAACAAATGCCCACTCAAGAAAACTGAAGTTGGAGTTGCAGGTCACAAACAAAAGCAGACCTCTCCAGTAACATAGGAAGCAGGTTACATTGCAGGCATTTTTCTAACCAAGAGATGAGGAAAAGGAAGCATGGAATCTCTGAAGGAGAAGGTGGCCAAAAGTCTAGTGAGGTTAGACAGGAAATAGTTAAGGGTCCCTGAGCTTGCACATGAGCCCTGTACTTTTTAAGAAACTAGACTCTCAGGCATTGGTGAGCTGTGCTAAGCACTTCTGACAGAGCCTTCAATATGAGGCTGTTGGAGGTATTTTTCTACATGCACACCTCTTCCACTGCTGAGTCAAAAGGATTATTTATTCTTGAAACAAAACCAAAATACAGAAGAAAACAGGTTACAATGCACACTTAGGCAGTCAGACCTTTGCTCAAGATCTTGTTTTTGTGTAGCCGTCAGAGAATCAGCAAATAAGATTTCTGGATATAGCAAGGCCAGATACAAAGAGACCTGAGGCTCATGTCCTATGGGGCATAGATGCATGGAATTGTCTGTACTCTGCAGCCACTGTTGAGTGCACCAACACCCACAGAAACATTGAGCAAAACCAGCTTTCAAACTATTCAGGAATAAACTGTTTTGAAAGCAGGAGGGCTCCTCATGAAAACCTGTCTCCCTCTTTTTTTAGATCATTCATCCTCAGAGGTCATGCTTTTCTGCGTCATCAGAGCCACTACATGCAGCCGTACCTCACAACATCACAATGAACAACCAGAGACAAGCAAGAGGACAAGATTGCTCATTAGACAGAAGGTTCCTGCTTGCCTGCGTTCATCTCCAATAACAGGCTTTTAGTCACACGGACAAAGTAGTTGAGTTTATAGTGTCCATCTGGGACTTGATCATATGCATGGAAAAAAGAGGCATCTTTAGAGCAGCAGCTTTGGTTTTAGGCGGTCTTTGATTTCCTCTTCCTTCCTCCACTCCTACACATCCTCTAAAAGCAAGTGAATATCCAGCTTACCTAGACTACAGCCAGTTTCTGTGGCTCTCCTTTTGCTGCAGTTTAGCTTTTTACCTTTTTCTATGGCTTTTTCATAAGGAGAAGTAACAAATCTGAAGCAGGATAAATGAAAATTAGAGGATGCCATTTGGATGGTGGCCTCATTAAATCAGTCCTTGCCTTTTCACTTGGGAAGCTGGTTTAGTAATGATCTCTAACATCCACAGAGCCTGTCTTCACAGATGGTTGCAAGCACTTCAAAGGCAGGTATACAACCTGCACCAAAATCCACTCTGCTCATTACAGCTGTTCCCAGGACTTTAGAAAAGAAGTGGCACATTATCCATCACTTCAATCTACACAGCACAAAAAGGCATGAAAGCTCAGTAGAAGGTCCCTGTTCTTCAGCAGCTAACAAACCATAGTCTTTCTCATTTTTCCTTCAGTCTGATGATGAGAAGGCTGAAAATTTACATGTGCTGTTCAGACAAGAGACCTATCTTATGCTTTGCTTTGAAAGCCGAGTATACTTTTGCAAACAAGAATTTAACAATGATCCCCTCTCATTAATGTCAAATATACTTTTTTTTTTTTAAGTGAAGGAGAGAAGCCTAAGGTATCAGAATGAAGAGGCATAAGGTCAAAGAATGTCAATTAGCATTTTAGATTTGTACATCCAGATCAGGGCCAGGAAAAACCACAGGAAAAAAACCAAGTATTTTGAGGGGATACCTAAGTCCACATCTGGGATCAAGGTATGCTCATTGTGAGAGCAGGATAGAAAACTGCTCATGGAATACAGCAGTAGATATGAACACAACAGTTCAAAGTCTGTAGTAAAGATTGCTAAATCCAAGTAAAACTGTACAGATCAGATCAAAGACAATTTCAAATTACTCAGCACGAATCCTTAGGTCAAGGCAGCAACTCTAGTTACCCCACATCCAGCTGGCCAGCAACAGCTAAAATAGGCCAGCAACCCTATGTATCACAAGGAGCAGGAAACATCTCATTTCAGGGCACGGGCACAAACCCAAGGCCCCACAGCAGCGGTCACAGAACAAAGATGAGGAGAAAGAAGCCACTTGCTTGCATTTCCATTTCAGGACCGTCTCCCTCCGGCAGCGTCCGTGCCTCCAGTTCTGAGATACTTTCACCCTCTCCTTCACTGGAATGCCAGCAGCTCTGCAGACAGAGGAAGAGAGATGAGATTAGCAAACAGGAGTGATGCTATCTGGACAACAAATGCACTCGAGCTGGTCACAGGTAAGCTCTCACTCTGGTTCCACAAACGATGAACTGGCAAATGCTGATGGTGCCAGAGCCACACCACAGCAAGTGCATTCATGAGAGCTGAGAAGAAAGGAACACTGAGCAGAGTGGGGGATTATTAGCACAGAAAGTCACATCTGATGATCACTAGTGTACAAGCCCTAAGTCTGATGAAGACTTGATCAACTATACTGAATGCAACACAGGTTCAGACAAAATGTAATCCAAACAAGATGACACAGAAAGGAACTACCAGAAGAACCAGCACATCACTCTTTTAATAGAGACTAAAAAGAGCCAATTAAGGACAACACCACACAAGAACAGATGGAGGAAACTCTAGTCAGGAGAACACTGAAACGGGAAGCCAGAGGAGTGTGTCTATCCAGAAGGACTAGCAAAGAAACTGCTCCAGAGTCTAACCTGTCTGAACAATCACATAACCAGATACAATAATCAGAAATCAAGATGTCTTCAGACTAAAGATAAAATACATTCGTCTGTATAAACCACCCAATGCAGACACACACCAAGACAAGCTATCTTTTGCAGCTGCTCACCAAAGGATAGAGAATTCCAGCACATCACTGGAAAATTCTCTACTTACAGTCAGACAAAACTACTAAAAGAGAGACTACAGCTCATAAGCCGTTGCTGGGATACAAATCAAAGTTATTGGGATGAGCTGAAACAAACCAAAAATAACACAGTTCAAGAAGTGACAAAAAGTAGGTACCACAGAGACCTGGGACGAAGGTCTCTTTAGAGTCTACATGAACATACCCAGTTCAAGCAGCTGTTCAATACCTGGTTTGCTTCAATGTTCCACAGTTGATGAAAGATGGGGAAATAGGCAGCTTTAGCTCCCATTTTTCTCCTATCAAAATTTAATTATTCCATATCCTTGGTGGAGCTGCTTAGGTAGAAAAAAATCAGAAAACTACAAACAAGAAGAAACTCTTGAAGTTATCCTTCTTAACTAGGAGTTGTGAACCACTTCCTAGACTGTAAGAGTTTATCCCCCTTTCATGCATTTCTCAACAGTCAGTGTTCCCAGATGCATAGGATGAAGGGAAGATCCTTAAGAGATGGGAATTGGTGCCCGATCAGAACCAGTTCCCTCCTCCCCTCCCTGTAGTCCCCTCAGTCCACTTCCCAAAAGTGGCATTTTTGGGTACTCTGTCATTTTTAAAACAAAGATTAGCTCCCTGTAAATAAACATCTCCTGTGGTTGTTAATGGGTGTAGGAATCTCTAACCTGGCCCTGGGGTCTGGCCAGACTCTTATTTTCCCAGCCTTCCTTCCATAGCCTCAGGCTTCTTTTTCTCTGCTCACCCTTCCCTCCTCTTTTCTATGCTTTCCGGCACTTAGTCACCATTATAATTTGACTGCATTCCTGGGCATGTGACCCATTTTAAACAAAAACAGAAACCACACACAGAAAAGCTTTTCGTCCCCTAGAAAGCCACGCAACTTTAACTTTATGATCAGTAGAGCCACACCAATTAAAACTGAATTTAAAAAGCTACAAGCTCTTTATTTCTCATAGCCATTGAAAAACAAACAAACAAACAAAAAAACCAAATAGAGAGTCAGCCTAGGCTGCAAGAAAAGGAATTCCTTTTTTAAAGGGAGCACTTGCAGGAGCTCATGGGGCCAGATAGTGTCTGAGATGAGGAATGTGCAGCACTGAAAAGTCAGGTCAGGTCCACTCTCCTCATTGCTTATTACTCTCCCAGACAAAGTTCAGGCTCTCCGCCTACATCCAATTCCATTCATTACTCCAAAACACTTCTCCTCCCCACACTCAACCCTCAGTTAAGTTCTCCCCACGTACAGATTTTAAGTCACCAGCTTACACAGTGATGGAAAATGCACTCACGCCACAACCCCCTTCCAACACGTACGAGCCCAACCAGACATCCTGAGCTCAGTGCACAAACCCTACTAAGACTAGATGGAATTTCCAAGGCTCTGAAAAAGGTGAATCCAAGGTCAAAAAAGCAGCCTCCATCTTACACTGCTGGTCACTTTTCTGGCTGGGAGGCAGTCCTTGGTCCTCCTGCTGCTGAAAGTGGAATTTCAGAAGAGTCACACGTTGGCTTGGCTCAGAGTACCAGTTCACTACCACGCTTACTCCTGCAACAGACACCTCATTCTTCCACAGAAATCAATCTCCTCAATCTGGAAGGGCTGAGGGTTGTGTGGGGAGGACTATTTGGGGGGAGGTCTGGTGGGGTTTTGGGAGGGTTTGGTTTGGTTTTTTGTTTGTTTTACTGTTAATAGATATTTTATTCATCCAGCCTGCCTCCTCCGTATCGCAGCTCTGGATCCAGTTAATTTAAACATGTCTTAAAAGTATCCATCTTTTGTTTTTCAGGCATTTTATTCAATCAAAATAGAGGCAAGAAAAGGGACATATGGAGAAAGTTGATGTAAAAATTGGACTGATACATCCCTCCCCTTTGGCAATGCCAAGGCAGCAGAGACTGAACTGCAATGATTTTCAAGTGCTGGTCAGAGACATACAATCCCCTATACCAGAAGAGAAGTTAAATGAAGCCCAGTGATGGAATCAAGTATTGAGATACAATTTGATATTTGTTAATAATTTTATATTTTATTTGATTCCTCAACAGCACCCCCCACAGCAATTCCTAGGATACAAAAAAAATGTGATGAGAATCACTGCAATGCATGAGAACAGTTCTCAAATCTTAGAAAGTTAAAAAAGGCATCATCATATAAACTTAATAATTTGATTGGAAATTTCCTTTTCTCCCCTACAAGAAACTATTTTGCTTCAGTCATAATCAACACACTTCCTACACATAAAAACTTTTAAGAATTGTTCCATGATAGGTAATCAACAGACATCACACATCTAAACACAGTGGTTGACTTAACCATGCCTCTCACTTCAGCAACTGTGCTGAACACCCAAAGATTCAGGAGACTAAACCACCTTACGAAGCCAAATACTACGTAAAATGCTGGGAAGGGACCACTATCCACTGGTCAGTGAATACTGTGACCTTTCTTAGTTTGCAATCCAGCAAAATACTAAGCCACATTCCTAAAATTCAGTACACGCATAAGCGCTCTGTGAAATCAAGATCTTGGCATTCATGCTCCCAGAGAAGCCACCCAACAGTGAACTTCAAGACTGCTGAAGGCTGACTCACTGAGGAAGGACTGCTATTTTTAGCAGGACCTACACAGCCCTGCATCAGAAAGCAACTGAAGTACAGTCCAACATCCTAGAAACATAGGATGGAGGAACCAGTGAACACTGAATGTGAAAACTCAATGAAATTCAAGAAAAATGTTCTTAAAACACACTAGTGCGCATCATCTTACACCTTTGCTAGGGCATCACAGTATCAACAGTTGATAAAGTTACATGGCAAAGAACACAAAAGACTACCTTTAGTTATTACCTAATTAATCCAAAAAACACTCTGTCGGGATCCCAAACCATACAGTGCAATATTTGACCTGACCTAACGTGTGTTTCCAGTTGCACGCACTCCTGACGGAAGTTCCCCTTACAAAGACTCCCTTACGTTAAGAAAGAATATTTCTCACAACCTGAGAGGGAGTTCCAGGAGAAAAATCATCCCAAGCAACCCATTACAAAGGATTTTTCATTTCCCCCTTCCTACCTCACCCCACCATACAAAAAAAAGCTAAATGTATTTTGCTCAAATTATGAATTTCCTCTCTTTCTTGGCAGAGTTGCCAAAAGAAATGTAATATTCCTTCTGGAGTCCATTTCCCAGCTGCTGAAGTGAGAGACTGGGACTGTCCCCACACAGCACCACTGACCCAGGTGACTTCAGCCACCATGGCAGTTGTTGGCCTGGGCCTCAAAAGAAAGCAATGAAAGAATCACTCAGTCAGAGTCCAAGCACATTGCCTCCTAAAGCTTCATATCCAACAGATTTTGCCTTCATTTATCCCCTCCTCACACAAAGTCCTTTGCCATCAGAAATGGTATTTCTGCAATAGCGAGAGCTTCTGCACTTCACTGCATCCCAGGGAGATTTCTACCGGCCATCTACAATTTCAGCATATGCCAAAACAGTGGTGCCTGCAACAACATATACTGTGTTACAGAAGGTAACACCGACATGTCATACCGTGTATTTTCCCAGCTGCATGGGGCATCCTAACCCAGCAAAATCCTCCACGTTTTGCTACATTTTAACTACCAAAGAGCTCATCTGGAAATGCAAATCTGCAGAGACCTGCTGAGACTGAATCTCTTCCGTGGACAAAATCTGTTGTCTACATAAAGGCTGTCACCAGCCTGCCTCAGGCCTGACTGGAAGGGTCATACAGAGAACAAACAGGTCACAGTGGCTAAGCCTCACTTTCAACCTTGGCCCTGTGGCAAGGGTGGCTAACACAAGGACCAACTGTGCTTATTTGTGTAATTGGGACACACCTGTTGAGTGGCAGGGTCTCAGTGCAGCCACAAGTCACAGGCCACCAACAGACAGCCGAGAGGGAAAAGCTATTTATGTCAGAAGCTCCTGTTGCTGTCCTCAACAGGTCGGCTGGCTTTCAAAATGTCTCTTCCAGGACAAAAATTCCAACTGAATTCCTTTAGCACATGACCCTTATTTAGCTTACTGCCATGTTCAGCCTGTCTTCTGTGCTCCCCCCCTCCCTACGTGACACAGGCTCAAATAACTCCAAGACAGAAGAAAGCTCTACTGACTGTTCTCTTGCTGTTCCTTCCCTTCTCTGGCGTGTCTATGCCATCTCAGACAGTACCAGGCTGTGCAGGTCAACTGCTCCACCAAAAGCTCTCACGAACAAGTCATCTCATGAAAAAGAGACTCTAACAATACCTAGGGGTGCAGACAAATTTCTGTACACACAGTAAGGACACACACCTTCACACA